AAAATAATTAGAAATGGGGGGGTGGGGCTGGGGAAAGGTAGGTGGTGTGGAGGCAGGTAGGGGGTCGTGGAGATTGGTCAATGGGAAGGGCGGGTCGGATAGGTGAGAAGGAAGATAGGCAGGTTGTGTCAGGTCAAGGGGGGTGGTGTTGAGAGGGAGGGCTGGACATGGGATGAGGCCAGAGATGGGGAGATTTTGAAGCTAGTGAATTCTATTTTGAGGCCATTGTGCTATAAGTTCCCAAGGTGGAATATAAGGTGTTGTTCCTCCAATTTTTGTGTGGCCTCATTGTGACATTGGAGGAGGCCCAGGATGGACATATTGCCAAGGGAGTGGGAAGGGGAGTTGAAATGGCTGGCAACTGGAAGGTGGTGTTGATTGGAGTGTACAGAGTGCAGATGCTCTGACATCTCCGACACCTCCCTCCCCTCCTGGACCTCTCCATTGCCATCTCTGGCAACCGACTAAGCACCGGCATTTATTTCGAACTCACCGACTCCCACAGCTACCTTGACTACACCTACTTTCACCCACCCTCTTGCAAAAATATGATCCCATACTACCAATTCTTCCGCCTCCGGCGCATCTGTTTCTGGGATGAAGTGGTCCTCTTCTGGGCATCCCAGATGTCCTCCTACTTCAAGGACCACAACTTCCCTTCTCCTGTGATTCATAATGCCTTCTATGGCACCTCCTACATTTCACACTTTCTGCTCTCACACCCCTAACCCCCAATAACAACAAGGATAGAGTCCCCCAAATCCTCACATATCACCCCACCAACCTTCGAATCCAATGCAACATCCTCCGCCACTTTTGCCACCTGCAATCTGACCCCACCACCAAATAGATATTCTCGTCCCCACCCCTATCTGCTTTCCGTAGGGACCGCTCTCTCTGTGACTCCCTCATCTGCTCCCAACAACCCCACCACACCCGGCACCTTTCGGGAGCTTACAACCCAATGGCCTCAACATCGAATTCACTAGTTTCAAAATCTCCCCACCCCGGGCCTCATCCCATGTCCAGCCCTCCCTCTCATCCCCGCTTCCCTGACCTGACACAACCTGTCCATCTTCCTTCTCACCTATCCGCCACACCCTTCCCATTGACCAATCTCCACAACTCCCTACCTGCATTCACCTATCATCACTCCACCTACCTTTGCCCAGCCCCATGCCCCTCCTATTTATTTCTGAGCTCCCTTCCCCCTCCCCGGTTGTGTTGCAGGGTCTCGACCTGAAACATTGACTTTCCTAGTCCTCAGATGCTGCCTGACCCGCTGCGTTCCTCCAGCACCACACTGTGTTGACTCTGACTTCCAGCATCTGCAGTTCTTGCTATCTCCTAACTACAATGCAATGGTGCTTCAATTATGTAAATCTGTTCAGGATGTCCTGAGACAGGGGCTATAGAAATGCAAGTGTGGCTTTTTATTTTCCCAGCTCCTCACTGACCACAGCGATACATCAAAAGAAGCATCAGTGAGGTGCATTTCAGAGAATTAATGCCCTGAATCCATTGCCACTGCGTGTCTTCTATTGCTTCATGCCCAAACTCCATCTGTTTTATTGGCTCTTTAATTATGTAGTTGAGATTATGCCCTACTCATCCTCACTCCCACGATACCGACACCAAATCTGGAAAAAATGATAATGAGCAGGCTGTAAGAAAATATTGCTAAGAGATACACTGAACTTACTTCCAGATTCCCCTTTTGATTTTGGACACCTCTTTCGCAGTGTGCCTCTCACGTGATATTGAGGTTATGTCTGGGAAATGGCTAGTACGGACAGAAGGGAAAAAAGATCATGAAAGTTTGCTACCGGTGTATCTTTCTGACAGAGGGACCACTGTTTCCATGGAGACATCCAATCAGTGAAACTGGTAACCATGGAAACTACAGCTAAGCCATCAAAATATCTGGAATCAGTACTATTACTGCACAGTTAGGGCTGCTTGTGGATAGATTATTTTAGAAAGTAACCAACCCTATAATGACTGATGTGTGCAATCAAACATTTGAGAATGTAAAAGCATCAATGTGTAATTTGGATTCTGTGTCAGGTGTGTGTTTGCACCATATAAATGTTGACCATAAAATATGATGGAATGTGATTTTATTCTGTGCTGTCCAAATCAACCAGAGAGATTCACTGGTTTGACTTCGAATTTTCAATTAATGGCCCAAAACTTCCAGTATCACTATTATCAAAATTGGAACTTAAGTTGGAAGATGCACATCAGGATCCCATACAGCCATCATAACTAGGCATCAAAACTGACCCTTCCCAATCACCACCACAGATCCTAATTTGACTGTCCTGACTGCCTTAGCAAATCCCAAAATCCTGACCCTACTCTCTCTTCCACCACCAGCTCCCTGACCTGATGATCCCACCCACCCACTGCCCTATCTGCTCATCTACCCATTCTCCCACTCACTTACCCACTCATTCCCCCAGTTACTTTTCCACTTATTCACAAACCCACTCACTTATGTACTCACCCGCCCACTCATCTACCCACACACAAACTTACCCACTCACTCAGTGTCCAGCCATTAGCTCACCCATTTACTCACTCACTCAGTAATCCACTCAATCACCCACTGATCCACTCACCTAATCAAATACTCCTTCAAACACTCACTCACTCAGCCCATCACCCATTCCCTGGCTCATTCTCTCTCTCATCCACATTCTCACCCACTCAACTACCCTTTCCCTCAATCACTTACTCAATAACTCTCTCTCCCAATCATCACTCCCTCACACCCACTCACTCAATTGCCTACTCATCCAAACACTAACTCATATACTCACCCATAGGCTTAACATCCTAACTACTCACTCCCTCACTTACTCACCCACTCATTCACTTACTCACCAATTCACGTAACACCTAACAGCTATTCATTCACTCATTACTAAACCCTTCATAGACACACTCACTCATTCCAGTCCATCATCCAATCCCAAATTCACTCTTGTCGTTTCTCACACGCTTACTCACTCATTTACTCCCTCTATCACTCAATCATTTACTCACTCAGCCCATCACCCAGATCTACATTCACCCTCTCCCTTATTCACTCCACAAACTCACTCACTCTGTCCCTAACTCTCTCATCAACTCACTCACCCATTCATCAACTCAAACTCTCCTCAGCCAATTCCTCAACTATTCATTCATTTACTCACTCACTCACTCAACCACTCATAGACTTATTCAACTTCTTACCTAACACCACACCCAACTACTTACTCATTCAACCACCCATACACTCACCCACGCACTCATTCACTCACCCCCTGTCCCAGCCCAGGCAACCAACCACTCACTCACTCACCCACCCACTCAGCCAGCCTCCAATTTATACACTCACTCACTTATCCACTGAAAGACTTTAGAAGCTTAATTAAGTATGACAGCAATATGGTAAAAAGGCAATGTGCCCTCTCTTTGAACAAATTCCTCTCTTGCTGGTCTTTTATAGGGGTGGTTGTGTTGCCCTATCCCTGCTGAAGCCAGGATCAGAAGTCCCAGGTGAAAAATCTCAAAAAGTTCAGTTTGTAGGACTCTTCACGGGCTGCAGAAATGCATGCAGCCTCGATGCTCTCAAGAAGATTTGACAAATGTATTTGAATAAAGAGTTGCAGAATAGTATAACTCTCAAGAGTAAAACGTTTAGCTGTGCAGGTACAGGATACGAAAGTATGCCCCATTAGCCACTCAAACTGCTTGCCTACCCTCTTTCTACCAGGCAGGTAGAATTAACATTTGCTTCGTATACAAATTAAGAATATTGTAATAAAGACACTTTATTTTAATATTGGGTGAATGATTTACGTTTTGAAGGATTGTGGAAATAGGGATTTATTTCAAGTTTTGAGGACATACTTGGAGTGAGTTTTTTTTTCTTAATAATGCATTGAAAATTTACTGTGGACATTGTAAATTTTTGTTTTACAAGGTTCCCTGGAAACTACGTTACTGGCGATAACTGCTTGCTTTGCTGTAGCCTTGCTGTTTTTGAATAGTGACTGGCTTGTAAATGTGCTTGTTTTATTTGGTTCAGTTGGAGGAAAGCCCAATAAAGATGAATTAAGTTAGATAGAAGCCTGCTAGGAACAAGCTAAGTGAAAGAAAAGCTTGCTGTGAACAAACTGCCAAGCTGATCTGTCCCACTTCTGAAAAGAAACTCCTGTATATCAGTTTGCAGTGAAACATATTTGTTCTCTTTAAAGAATGTTTGAAAGAACACCACAAGATGATTTTGTCTAAGAATCTGTGTTTGTAAGACTTCAGAGCCAAACGTACATGATCAGTAACTTGACCACCATGGCCAGAACATCAGAGTTAATGTTTCGGGTCCAGTGACCCTTCCTCAGAACCTTCCTCAGTAAGTTCTGCAGAAGGGTAACTAGACCCAAAACATTAACTCTGATGTTTTCTTCACAGATGCTGCCAGACCTGCTGAGATTTTCCAGCAATTTCTGTTTTTGTTTCATTGGTCAAAGTGTTTTTCTTCATAAAGTCAATCTCTGCAGAGAAACCTGTTCTTTGTTTCTCTTTTCCTGAAGAATGTATATCCAGATGTTTTGATGATATTTATAGGGATATATGTTACTAACATATATTACTGACAAACTGAAAGGCTTTGTATGTATATATACTAAATAGACCCATAATTGTGTTTATTAAGAAACCTGGTTGATAGATCTATCCGTTGAAAACTTAATTTTGATGAAGTATTCGATTGGTCATTTTGGTAACTGGTAAAAGTATTTTTACTTTAGTTTGCAACCTGTGGAACCAGAGCAAGTGTCCAGCCTCTGTTGTAACAATATTAGTAAATACGGGCTTTTGTTACAATTAATTTGATGTTCATGAATTGCACGCACAGATTTTCAATTATTACACTGTGTTTGACACCACAATGAATTTCTAAAGACTTCACAAATTGTGAAAGTTTCTCCATGGAATTACTTCCATACCTCTCATTTACATCAGCTTCATCCATCACAGGGAATCAACATGTAAATATCTGACCTTAGTGCCCATACAGAATAACTTGTCCTACAAGTAAAACAAAGACTGAAAATTAGTTTGCTGATTTTGAATTTGTTTTTACTTTTTCAATTCACAATAAAATGAAGACATAATTGAGTTAATGCATGTCTCATCATATCTTAGACATATCTTAAAGTGGTTCACATGAGGAATAAAGTGTTACGCATATGGTTTTCACAACTGCCCTTTTTGCATTGAAATTTTATCTTTCATAACAAAATAAATAGACCTTAGGAGTAGGGTAAAAGTTCGGCACAACATCGTGGGCCGAAGGGCAATAATTCTGGGTCACTTTAATCTTCATGATGATAGGGTTAATCAACTGGAAAGGGTAGCTATGACAATCAATGTATTAGGAATAGTTTCCCAGAGCAATATGTCATGGAGCCAACCAGAGAGCAGGTTATCTTGATGTGGCAATGGGTAATGAGGCAAGTTTAATAAATGACCCCTGAGTAAAATATCCCTGAGAAAGTAATAATCAAAACATGGTAGATCTTAATAAGCAGTTCGAGAGTGAGAAGATAGGGGTAGAAACAACTGTGTTAACTTAAATAAAAGCAATTGCAGTGAAATGAGGATAGAATTAGCTAAAGTGAACTGGGTGGATTGCTTATTAGGAATGACAGTAAGTAAGCAGTGGCAGACATTTAAGGAGTTAATTCATGTCTCTCAGCAAAATTATATTTGTCAGGTTGGAAGATTCTAAGACAGGGATAGACCAATCATGACTACCCAAGGAAGCTAAGGAGAATATTGCTGAAATAAAAAAAAATATACAGAGGGCAAAGTCATTGATATCCCGAAAGCTGGGCCAAATTCAGAGTTATGGAGAAAGGGCAGTAAAGTGAATTTGTGGAATGTTGGCTCAGCCATGACCCTCCTGAATGGTGGAGCAGCTTGAAAGGCCAAACAGCCTACACCTGTGCCTATTTCTTATTGTCTTATAGTTATAGTAGCATTGGGGCTGAAACACAGCATAATTTTAGAGCAATAGACAACATATTTTGATATACAGCAGCAAGTTCATTCAATTCAGAAATTTTTAATATCTAAAACTTACAAGGAATTGTCAAAAACTGCCATCCAAAGCTGTATTCATCCTTTTCTGACTGAAGTTGAAGATGTCTTTAATTTTCACTGGAACTGATTGCCTCCACATTGGCATCAATCATGGGATGGTATGGATGGATGTAGGTATTAACAGTAGTCAGGTGGAATTGAGAAGTAAATAAAGTCTTAACGTTGTCACCTATTTCCAGTTTGCAGGCATATAATGCTCTAGGAAGGATCACAGGAACAAAAGTAACATTCAGCTCCTCAAGCTTTCTCTGCAAATCAATTACGTAATGACATTTTGTATCTTAAATTAATCTGTCCCCTTCTGTAACCCTTATCATTCTTGCTTAATAAAACTGCATTAATTTCAGTTTTTAAATTGCTAATTAACATAGGTTCAATATTTTGGTTAGAAAGATTTCCAGATTTTCAATTATCTTGCAGGGACTGGGACCATACCCAGGATCAATGATTAAATAGCAGTAAATCACATTTTACCAGCCACAGGATTCTGAATTCCTACATTCATCAAACAAAGCAAAATTCTGATGTCACTACAATCCTGTTTTAAGCGCAAACTGCTCAACAGTGACATGAAAATTTCCCTGTCATGTTTGCTTAAAATGATGTGTATGGATTAGTCATGATGTACCAAATAAAAGGTGAAAATGCTGTAAATATTCAGCAGGTCTGGCAATATCTGTGGAGAGAGACATAGACTTTTGTTCAGTTTTGATGGAAGTCATGAACTGAAAATGTTTCTCTCTCCACAGATGCTACCAGACATACTGAATAATTGCAGTATTTTCTCTTTTTTCAGATTATCAGCATTTGCAATATTTTGGTATAGTTTTGGAGCTGACAGGAATTATTTCAATAAGTCATTCTAGCTTTATCCATTGCCTCATGATCCTTACTCTATAGTGTGGGGCCCAAAACTGCCGACGACAATGAGTTTTATCGAAGTTTACATGGATTTAATGTGACATTTTGGTGTAGAAATTTTCTCTAGGTGAAGGTGCAAATGGGTTAATGTTGCTTTGTGCATCCAAAAAAAATCAATTTAATTGGAAAAGTAAAGCTTTTACATAGTCTTTAAGTACTATGAATTTTTTCTGTCATCTTTACACTGCAGTTGAGGAATTAATGTAGCATCCTTACTGTGGCTTTAATTATGACTGATTGTTATTGCATTGTGCCTGAAGAACAGTGAGGAGATTAGTCACCATTATAGCAACTGCAGGAACATAACTGGACAGCAGATAAATGCTAACACTTTGTAGAATTCAACATTTCAAGCTATGATTTACTCCCCATTTGCATGAATCAATATTTTATCAGTATTATCTGATTTGTTGCCAATCACAGTTTTTTTTAAAAGCTTGAATATTCTCTCTATTTTTGAATTTTGTCAGTATATCTGCAGGTTTGGATTTAAAAACAATAGGTAAAATACTAGTGTCCTAAAGGTTTTCTCCAACCTGTATACTATAGATAACATTGAACGAGGCATTCTATAAATAGGGTCAGATCTGCTCCCAGTGAATCAGTGGGTAAATACACAATCTAGTGCGACAAAGACCAATGCCAACATGTTTCTGTGGGACTGAGAGTGAACTGAATATAACCATAATGTCAGCAAAGTTACGACAACTGGCCCAAGAATTTGTTGACAGGGGAAAGGTAAATATAACAGCCAATCCTGATCAATTTGTGGATATATTTAAGGACACAGTTGAACCTGAATATGTTAGGTAGTATTCTGATGATGGATCAGAACTCCACATTATTTATAGACATTTTTTACTTTTAGTTCCAAAATGTGCTGTTTTTAAAGGGAGAATGGCTACAAAAACAAAACTGCAGATTTAAATTCAGTGACTGTCTGGAAAGATTCCATGTGAATGTCATGGAAAGACACACGTGTAAATTGTCATGAAAACATCAAACAGGGAGAGACTTAACAAGAAAAAATGAGGAGGTGGAGCGCTGACTAACTTTCCCTCCCTTGGCAAAAAGACATCTCTTGCACATATATATGTTTTACCCTCCAGAAATACAAAAGAATGGGGTTAAAAGGTGAGTTGCCACTCTTCTGGAGTGGACTAGTGGGACTAAATGCTCTTAGCATATGTCATCTTAGCTTCCAGTGTTAGTGTGCTGTGAAGGTCACAGGTAAAAACTATCCCCTAGTTACCCATGTTTTGCATTTAAAAGAATACTCATGCTCACCCTGAGTACTGCAAACCAGTTTGAAAATAAAACAGACAAAGGAACTTCATTCAGCCTACGCTGAAAAAAATCTCTCAAAAAATACCTCAGTTCCACTACCAACATCAATGCCATTGGTAACCTTTCCTGCAATGGCTGCAATGTTCAACTATCCACTCTTCACAAACAACTCAGAAACTGATTTTTTTTAATATACTTTTATCTTTTTAGATTGTCTTATTTCTAATTTGAATCAATGAGTGTTTCATTACCAAGTATTCTCTTGTTTTCTACTTAACTCACTAATTCATGGAAGCCTAGTTAAATTGGCTCCTTTTAAAATACAAGTTAATATGGGTTTGGGAGAAAGATATCCACAAGAAAAAGGACTCTCTTTTAAACTGGTTCAGAGATAGCAGGAACTGCAGATGCTGGAGAATCTGAGATAACAAGGTGTAGAGCTGGATGAACACAGCAGGCCAAGCAGCATCAGAGGAGCAGGAAGGCTGATGTTTCGGG